TTCCCTTTCGAGCACGTTTGACACAAAACCCAACGCAGCCATTGCAACCGAGGTACTGGCGAGGAAGAGTCGCAGCACCTTTTTATAAGAAAACATTAACGAAAGTGTGTGCTAATAACTAACTTACGTAAACTTCAAAATGTGAAATGTCAAAACATACTAAAACATGTATCAAGTTTTTAAGTTTTACTTTCACTTGAAAACTGCATTGCGGCAACATCTTAATTTTGATCGATGGTCGTTTTATAAAGACTTTTATTTACTATATATTTTTAAAATTTGTTCAATCGTTCATAGTGGCATAGCTTAGTGGTCAGCTCGCTGGCAGCTGACCTGAAGAGCCATGGTTCGAATCCTACCTATGGCATGTTTTCTTTTTAAATTCATTTTCGATTTTTCTAAAGTACGAAATAAAGATTATGTATAGAGATTATATACTTAACAAATGTAAAAATATTTTACACTTAAACAAACGAAAGGAAGAGAATTTTTAAAGAAAGCTTAAAAGTTCTACAAACATCAAAAAACAGGAGAAATTTGTTGCGCTTAATTGTCATGTTATTTTAGTTTTACATTTACATTTCTCCAACTAAGTTGAGTTCGCGCAAGGAAAATGAGTATATAACATGTGTATATATAGAATATAAAATCTATAAAGTGCATTTAACAAAAAAAGCAAGCTGATGATTTGAACTTGCCACGCGGCGACCTGAATATTTAAAACAGTAAGGGGGTTTTAAAAATGTATTTTTATTAAAAAATATTTAAAATTTTTAAATTTAAGATAAATTATCTTATGAAATTTATTATTTTTTAAAATGAAAAAAAAGTTAAAACTATCGATATTTAGGTAATAAAAATATTTAGAGTTTTACAGCTAATTTACAACGCCCCTGTTAAATATTCTATACCGAGTGCGCAACAATGACAGAATTTAGAAAACCATCAAAATAGTATGATTCTCCGTATGTGATTGGAAGAGTCAACTTGAACACTTTAAACTGATCTGAACAAACTGCACGAGGCATTGCAAATGTTTACTCGGTAAGATTTTTGTATTTCTTGAAATGACATTGTATCTTCTATTATTGTTGTCATAAATGATATAATTATTGAATATACTTAAAAAAATAGCATGTATTTTTGCATCTGTTTTTAAAATTACGGAACTTTAAATTTCTAATGTTTTTTTTAATGAAACATTCTGTTTTATAGGTGTTGTATTGATTCTTGACTGGCTGTTAATTTTATACAAGCTAAAGACGACCTTATTTTGAATATAAGTAAGTTTTTTTTTTATAATTAGTTTTATGTAATTTTATGTAAAATATTCAATCGTGTTTTATATGTATCTAAGTATTTAGTAAAGGAATATTTGCCAGTGTGACCGAGCGGACGACATTCTGAAATATCTATCGAGGTTTGAGTCCAATCGTTAGAACCTTCTCTTTTTTTTTTAAATTTTTTATTGGTTTTTTTAAAAATTCAAAAATAGAACACAATAAAAAGAGAACTATGAAATTGTTTTGTTTTGCTTTTTAATAATTAAAGCTTTCCGCGACAAACTTTTTTTGAACACAGTCAGGGGGATAAAATGAGTTGTTTCTATTAAGAATATGAGTAAAAAATTTATTTTCTATTTAAAATAAATCATTTTTTCCAACTTGGTTATTTTTAAAAATGATATAAAGTTAAAATAACCTAATCTTAAGATAATAAAAAAGTTTAAAGTTTCATATCTGCCCCCGTTAAACATTTTAAACCAAGTGCTCAACAATGACAATTCAGATAACTATCGAAATAGTATTATACTGTTTTTATAGTTTTGAAAGAGTCAGACCGCTATTAACTGGTTATGCACAAGGCATTTTTGATTTGCAAGCGGTAAGTTTTGTATTTCTTGAGATATCTTAGATTCTATTATCATATATATGATATAATTGTTAAGTATGCTTTTATTTATATGTAGTATGTATTTGTTAATTTGTTTTTGAAGTTGCTAAAGATTTTAATGTTTTACTTAATGAAACAGTCTGTTTAGTAGGGGATGAATCTTGACAGGCTGTTAATTTTATAGAAGCTAATGTTGACCTTATTTTAAATATAAGTAAGTTGTTTTTTATTATTATTGGTTTTAAATAGTGTTAGATATTCAATCGTATTTTTTATGAATCTAATAATTTAGTAGAGTGTTATTGTCTGGAGGTGTTTGATATTCAGGTAAGATTTTATTAAGTTAATTTATTTTAAAAGAATCTTTTAAAATTTACTTATTAAAAATTTTACATTTGCGTTTTTTTCAATTCCAAATTTTGTTTCTATTTTTTTAATATTAAGTAAATTTTTGGTGAAAGATTCTGTTTCTGCATTAAACACTATCAAAATTTTAGTCAGTAGAACATGCAAAATATTGAAATGATTTGCTGCTGTGACTGTGTTTATGATTATCCACGGCAAGATGGTATTTTATTGTCAGTTAAGATTTTGTGAATACTTTAAACTGCAGTTAATCTTTTTTATGTATCATAAATTATTTTGTATTACAAACTTTTTAAATTTTGTTATTTTATTTCTTTAGTTCTACTTTGGTACTTTAGCAACTATCATAAGTTTACTTGGTCTACTGTTAAATATGGTTTTAACTAAGTAAATTTTAATTATTTAAAATTTACTTTGTTGATCATTAGCTAATAGTTTATAAAGAATTTAGTCTGTTGCCATCAAGGTAAAAATAATTTTGTGTTTCAGTCAAATTACAAAATTTGTTTGCACTTATAGCTTTTATGTTTCGTTATTTTGTTTAATTGACTTTTTCATTAATTTTGTTATTAATTCCTTTTCATTTCAAATTTTGCCCGTTTTTAAAAATGCTATATAAAAATAGCAGCAGGCAAATTGGTTTGTAGTATTATTATATAAAGATTATTATATAAAGATGTTTTTAATTCTATCATATGATAATTTTTCATCGTAGATATATCTTACGATGCTTTTTCAGCATATTGCAGTTCGCGAGGCACATAAGTTGTGGGCCCGAATTTAGAGCAAAAGCTCGCTCTCCTCCGTCATTTTTTTTTCTTTTTCTTTCTTAATAAGGATCCTGTAAAAAATAAAATATGAGAAGGATCCTTAGTATGGATTCTGTAAAAAATAAAATATGAGAAGATAGCGGTGGGAAAATATTGCGCTATATCTTTAATTAGTAATTTTGTAGTTAGTTAATAATGCAGATGTAGTTGAATTTTTTTTTGTAAATAAAACTTTTATATATTTTGTTTCGTTATCATGTATAAATAAATTGATTTACAGTGGTGTTATTATTTCTTTTTTGAAAAAAACTGATTAGTTTTTTTTTGCCTCCACAGAAGCACCAACGGGATCTGCATCAAGTAATGTATTTTGCATACTTATGTATTTTTTGGGTGTTGTATTATTCAAGCTGAAACATTACATTTTTAATATTTGTGTGCAGTTTCATACCTGTTAAATATATGTTAATTTGAACATTACAATTTTTTTTTTTTTTTTGCCTTTACAGAAGCACCATTGGCAGTTGTGTCAGGTAGTGGGTTTGGCATACTTATACAGTTTTATAGGTTTTATGCATATTAATTTTTTATGCATTTAAATTAGCATTAAATTTTTTTCTTTTGTATGCAATTTTATGAATGTTTGGTTTGTGTTAATTTAAACTTTAATTTTTTTTTCGCTTCTCCAACAGCACCCCTTGCAGTTATTTCAGGTAGTGTGTTTTACATACTTATGTAGTTTTGTGGGTGTTATGTGTATTAAAACATAAACATTCAATTTTTTTTATGTTTGAAATTTCATGACTGTAGTATATGTTAATTTTTTTTTTTTTTTTTACCTCCACAGAAGCACCATTGGCATCAGTGTCAGGTAACATGTTTTCACACTTATGCATTTATATGGGTGTTATGTGTATTTAAATATAAACATTAAATTTGTGAAGTTTGTATATAAATACATGATTTAATTGTTTATATATATATATTTTTTTCTTAACAGCAACACATTCTTCAGTTGCAACAGGTAAAGTGAATTTTAGTCGTTTTTAAAATTAATATGTTAGTCGTTTTATGCAGAATTTATATATATATATATATATATATATATATATATAATATATATATATATATATATATATATATATATATATATATATATATATATATATGCATATATGGTATGTAATCAAATTTATTGCTTTTTTTTTAGCATCTTGGGAGAGTTTCCTTTTATATCGCTCCCAGCACCCAGGCCCATTATCACAGAGGGCCTTCTTCCGGTGGTGCCAATATGGGGAAGATGATCCCTCCTTTAGATGGAGGAGACGGACCCCATATGGGGCCACCGGTAGGAGGAGTGGTGCTGGGAGGCAGAATGACCAAAGGTCAAACATTATGAATTTTTATCAGTAGTTTTTTTTTTTTTTGTGTGTTAATTTATTTATTTGTTGTAAATATATCTTTACGTTTCAAAAAAGTTGTTTTTTAGTTTCGATTTTTGCAAGTATTTTTATTTATTTTTGATATTTTAATTTTTTAATTTTATATTTATTGATTTTTATTTCTGATTTGAGAGTCTAAACTTTCAAAACAACTCTTATGTGGTTAAATGTTAAATAATTTGTCTATTAATTTTTATTTATTTCATATAGTTTTTGATTTCTTGATAGTAAATATTTTGTAATTTAGTTACAATTTTTTCTTATTCTATTTGTTTGTTTTATATGCCTAATTGTTGCATTATACACATATTAATGTTTATATTATTCTCTTTAGATTTTTATTATAAAAAAGTAATCATTAAAGATAGCCACATGTGAACTATATGATGTTACATGTTAGACAAGTTTTATTTGCAATTTGCAATTTGGCATGTCGTTTTTTTATTTGTAAATAATTTTACTATTTAATTTAGTTATTATTAGCATTAAAAAATTGTTAAAATTGTTATAATTTTATTTTAATTTATTTCTAAAATATTTTGTTTTATTACTTTAAATGTAATACTTAGTGGTTCAACTTATGTTTAACTTTTAGGTTTTTCTCTGTTTTAAACCAGTTAAGTTAAGACTTTAGGTCAATAATTTTTATTAGAAAATATATAAATAGTCTTATAGAGTTTATATTGATAATTAGAAATGCACATATTATGTTTTTCCATTTTAGATTAGTATAACAAAAAATTAATCAAATCAACTTTTATCAAACATAGTTTCTTAGTTATGTCAAATAACTTGAGAGCTGAAATAAGAAGAAATCGTCGGAATGAGAGAAATGAGGCTAGGCGAGAAGAACTTAATCGTCGCCAAAATGAAAGAAATGAGGCAAGGCGAGAAGAAATTAATCTTCGCCAAAATGAAAGAAATCAGGCAAGGCGAGAAGAAATTAATCGTCGCCAAAATGAAAGAAATCAGGCTAGGAGAGTATTACATAGACGTGGAATGCATTGCATAGCAAGAAATAATGTTTTTATAGTGAGTAATTACCTTGGAGAAATGAACCATATTTGTCAATATTGTGGTGCCAAAAATTTTTTAAATGAAACACATTTTCTGTGCTGCCATTCTCGAAAAGTTGCGTTAGCTCCACTTTCGCCTTATCCACTGCTCATGCACAATTTAATGACAGGCAACCATGTTGATCGTGCTATGAATCAAAATTTCTTCAAGCATATTCGAAGTTATAATGCCTGTTTATCTTTTGCTTCATTCACAGCAAGAATAGCTCCTCCGTCTGATCATGGGCCACCCTGTTTTAGGATTTGCGGACAAATTGTGCATCGTGTAGGTAATCTGAGACCTGATCAAAATGTTCTGCCTGCATATTGTCAGTTATATGTTTATGATCCTAATACTGCTTTAAATTTTCGAATGGAGCAAAATGATTGTTGCATACGTGAGTTGATGGAATTTTTGCAGACTATAATTAGTCAAGAGAACCCATTTGCTCTTGCATTTAAAAACATGGCTGAAATTGAAGATGAAGAAGTACGTCAAGCAGCTTTAGAAGGTCGACCAACTTCGATTGTTAAAATGTCATTGCTTGAAGGTGGTGATAGACGTCGATACAATCTTCCTTCACATGAGGAAGTTGCCATTGTTTTTGTTGGGGATGATGGTGCTCCACCTCCACCTAGGGAAGTAGTTATATACCCTCGAGGTCAGGCCTTAAAAACAATTTCAAGTATGTCTGCAAATCTAGATCCAATGATATATCCAATATTTTTTCCAAGAGGTGATGCTGGATGGCATGAGCAACTAGAGCATCATCCTGACCGAGCTACACGTGTTAGAAATCGGGTTACTTTGTCTCAGTACTACAATTACAGGCTTTCTGTTAGAGAAACCTTTAATCCTATATTTTATGGTAAGAAGCTTTTTCAACAGTATGCTGTTGATGCATATGTCAAGATTGAAGGTCAGCGCCTTGCTTTTATTAGAAATAACCAAAACAGACTTAGAAGTGAACAATATGACACATTATATAAACATGTAAATAACGCTGCAAATAACCTTAATGTAAGACCAGGTCGTGTTGTTATACTACCATCCTCATATGTTGGAAGTCCAAGAGCTTTAAAAGAAAATTTTCAAGATGCAATGGCAATTATAAAGAGATATGGCAAACCAGATCTTTTTATTACTTTTACCTGCAATCCAAAATGGAAAGAAATTACAGAAAATTTAAATCCAGGTGAGAGCCCATCTGACAGACCTGATTTAGTTTGTCGTGTATTTAAGATGAAACTTAAATGCTTCCTAGATGATATTTTTAAACACGGAGTCTTAGGTAAAGTTATAAGTCATGTACAGGTTATTGAATTTCAAAAACGTGGTTTGCCACATGTACATATTTTATTGCACTTTGTAAATGATGATAAGCTAGAAACAGCAGAGGATATTGATAGTCTAATATCAGCTGAAATTCCAGATCAAACTGTTGATCCTGAACTTTTTGAAATTATAAAAACATGTATGATTCACGGACCATGTGGAATTTTGAATCCCAATTCTTCTTGCATGAAAGATGGGATTTGCACAAAAAAGTTTCCTAAAGAATTTAATCCTCACACTGTTGCAACTTTCAATGGCTATCCTCACTACAGGCGTTTAGATAATGGTAGAGTAGTCGTTATAAAAGGTAACCAAGTTGATAATCGATGGGTTGTACCCTACAACCCTTGGTTATCTATTAAGTCAGTTAAGTATTTATATAAATATGTCTATAAGGGGCATGATTGTGCTCATGTGTTAAATAATGAAAGTCTTGACCATGATGAAATTAACACATATTTAGATTGTCGCTTTGTTTCTGCACCAGAGGCTCTTTGGCGAATATTTGAGTATTCCAAAAGTGATATGTCACATACTATTATCCGCCTTCAAGTCCACCTTCCTGATAATCAGAGGGTATATTTTAACGAAGGAGAAGAACGAGTAGCTATAGATCGTGCTGCACAGCGTGACACTCACCTAACCGCTTGGTTTAAATTAAATGCTGAGATAAATGAAGCACGTCAGTATTCTTATGTTGAAATTCCATATCACTTTGTTTTTGATGGTAAAAATTGCAAGTGGAAAGTAAGACAAAGAGGCAGTGATAAGGTGATTGTGCGAATGTATAAAGTCAATCTAACCAGTGAAGTATTTTTTCTTAGATTGTTGCTTTTGCATGTAAAAGGTGCAATGTCTTTTGAGGATTTGCGTACTATTCATGGCACTGTTTTTAATACATTTCGTGAAGCATGTTATCGATTAGGTCTATTGCAAGATGACATTGAATGGAGAAATACATTAACTGAAGCTGTAGCAACTCGAATGCCTAAACAAATTAGGCAACTGTTTTCCATTATATTGACTTTATGTGAACCTGATGATCCTTTACACCTTTGGAATACATTTAAAGATTATATGATTGAGGATTACATACACCATTCAATGCCAGTTGTACTTGCTGAACAGACTGCTCTTCGTCAAATTGAATCTATAATTAATCAGAGTGGTAAAACTTTAACTGATTATAATTTGCCTACATTAGATCAGTTATTAGATAATGTCCTAGAAAATGATGATGGAAATATTCAGGTATTTATTGATGAAGCAAATCGAGTTAGACCATTATTAAACGATAATCAGCGTAATGTAGCTGATGCAATCCTTGCTGCACTTAGTGAAGAACCTAATAATGAAAATAAGCATTCAAGATTTTTCTTTATGGATGGGCCTGCCGGTTGTGGTAAAACATTTACTTACAATTATTTAATTGCTGAAACACGCAGCAGGCATATTAGAACTGCAACAGCTGCATGGACAGGAATAGCTGCAACTCTTCTTAAGAATGGATGCACATTGCACGGCTTATTCAAACTTCCTGTTCCAATTTTGGAAACTAGCACATGTAATGTAACTCCAAACTCCATTCATGGTAGATTCCTGAGACAAGTTAGTTTATATTTACTCGATGAAGCATCTATGATACCCAAACATGCTTTGAGTGCCATTGATAAGTTATTACAAGATATTTGTAATAATAAGTTTCCTTTTGGTGGTAAAGTTATTCTTATGGGTGGAGATTTTCGACAAATACTTCCAGTTGTGAAGAGAGGTCGACCAGCAGATGTTGTAGAATCATGTATAAAGTGTTCTGAACATTGGCAATATGTGCAAAGGTTTTCATTAACTGAAAATATGAGGGTTCAGATAGGAGAAGAGGAATTTTCTCAATGGCTTTTAAAGCTTGGAAGTGGAACATTACCTGTCAAGCCTGAAGATCCTTTGCAAGGGTGTATTGAAATACCTGAGCAGTGTTTTCTCAATGATAATGAATCTATTGTGGAAAAGATTTTTGGTGGTGCAGAAGAAGCTGATTATGCAAAACGTGCTATTTTAACACCAACAAATGTTGATTCATTGGCAATAAATGAAGAAGTCCTTCATCGATTACCGGGTGATGTTAAAACTTATTTAAGTTCAGATAGCATTGAAACTGATGATCATAATGAAATTTATAATTTTCCAGTTGAGTTTTTAAATACTTTGACTCCATCAGGTATGCCTGTTCATTGCCTAAAGTTGAAAATTGGTGCTGTTATAATGCTACTTAGAAATTTAGATCTCAAAGGTGGACTTTGTAATGGAACACGTTTGATGGTGCGTGCACTACACAACAATTACATTGATGGTGAGGTTCTAACAGGTGTATCAGCTGGTAACAGGGTATTTGTTCCTCGAGTTCAATTAGCTCCATCAGATTCAAATTTACCTTTTACACTTAAACGTCGTCAATTTCCAGTTAGGTTAGCATACTCAATGACCATAAATAAAAGTCAAGGTCAAACATTTGATAAAGTTGGTGTTTATCTCAAAAAGCCTTGCTTTTCACACGGCCAATTATATGTTGCATGTTCAAGAACAAAATCTTTTAATAGTTTGTTTTTTAAAGTTGATAAACATGCATTACAAGGTATGTCATTTAACAAATATTACACAAATAATGTTGTGTTTACAAATGTTCTTAATTTATAATTTTGACAAGTTTGTTTATGTTTTTTTTCTTTGCTATATATGTTTATATATGTGAATATATGTTTTTACTTATATATAGATGTTTGTGTTTGTATATGTTTGTTTATATGTGTTTAAGTTTATATTATGTTATTTCCATGTTTGAAAAGTGGTGTTACTTGGCAACGTGTAGTGCAAGATTGTGATCCTTGCCAGCCAAGTGGTGTTACTAATTAGTGGTGTTACTTGGCACTTAATGCCAAGCGGTGTTACTAAATTGTGGTGTTACTTGGCAGCGTTTAGTGCCAAGCGGTGTTACAAGTGTTGAACTAGGTTGTGTTGTCTAGCTTTTTTAATTATTTTGGAAACACATAATATCTGAATACATTGTGTAATGTGTACTTACAAATGTCATATGTTGTGTATTATTCAGTAGCGTAGGCAGGGTTTTTTGATGCTTCAGGTTTTACTTTTATTTTCAGACTCTTTCATTACTTTCAGACTCTTTCATTACTTTCAGACTCTTTTATTACTTTTATTACATTCAGACTCTTTAATTACTTTCAAACTTTTTCATTACTTTCAGACTCTTTTATTACTTTCATTACTTTCAGACTATTTCATTACTTTCAGACTATTTACTTTCAAACTCTTTCATTACTTTCAGACTCTTTCAACTAAACTTAATTGTGTTCATGTTTGTCAAATTCAAATAATTTGTAAAATATGGATGTGGTTGGGGCTTGAAAACAAATATGTTTTAAAAAGGTTTGCTTTCCTCCCTTGAATTTAGCTGCCAATTAGTTAAAAAAGTATTTTTTTTAAGCATATAATAATAATCTTATTCATTAACAGGTTTTAAATTTCTTATAAAACAACAAAAGTCCTGTCTACACCACTGGTGTTTTTGTTTGTCATTGTGTAATGTTTCTGTTGTGATGTTTTGTGTTGATAGACAGCTTGGCTTACCTTCACGCTGGTGTCTATCGTTAAAAATGATTATTAGCTAGCTTCATTACTGAAACTACTCCTTCTAATCATTCACTAAAAGCCAAGAAATATTTTTTTGAATAAATGCCTAATTTTTTTATCTCACTGTGACTTTTTATCTTTAGCATTGTTGATAAAATAGCTTTTTAAATAAAGAGTGTTTCCAGCCTTCCAATCAAATACTAGAGACTTCCACAAAAGCGATCTCACAAAGTAAGTTTCTTATTTAGTGTTTGATAATTGACTAAGTTTCGTCACCTTTTATATATTTTTTTACATCTTATTATGTAATTTTTCAACATTTAGACAACTTTTAAATAACTTTAAACAACTTTTATATGTGTATTCAGTGTTTTATATAACAATATTTTTCTTCATTTTATAGGTAGATTTCCTGTTATAACTGGTTTAAAAATTGTTAATCGTTAATCATTTTTTAAAAGCGTTTACTTTTTCTAAAGACGTATTACTAATACCATTAGTAATACGTCTATTCATACATTATCAAAAATACTTTATCAAATGTATATTCATACCATTTACTAAAAGCTATCTTCTCTATATATTATTGCCGAACTTAATAGTGTTTGTAGCGCTCTTTCGAGCGTGTTTGACAAACCCATGGCAACTATTGCAACCAAAGTAATGGCGAGGAAGAGTCTCAGCACTTTTTGATAAATAAACGTAAACAAAAGTGTATGCAAATATCTAACTTACGTAAACTTCAAAATATGAAATGTTAAAACATACAAAAACATGTCAAGTTTTACAGTTTTACTTTCACTTAAAAACAGCATTGCGGCAACGTCTCTTTAATTTTGATCGATTTACAAAGTCTTTTATTTATTATATATTTTTGAAATTTTCGTCAAAATGCCGTGGTTAGCCTTACGTAAACTTTTATTTATTATAATTTTAAATTTGTTATTTGTCATGTTATTTTAAGTCGTATTAGCGCAAAGAAATTGGGTATATAACATGTAAATATTTAGAACTATAAAGTTGTTTTGTTTTGCATTTTAAATAACAATAATTTTATTAAAAAAAGCAAGCTGATGATTTGAACTTGCCACGCGGCGACCTTGAATTTTTTTAAAACAGTGAGGGGGTTTTAAAAAAAAACATTCTTATTTAAAAAAACTTTAAAAATCTTAAATTTATTTTTAAAATAAATTATTTTATTGAACTTATTATTTTTCAAAATAATAAAACGTTAAAACTATTTAATTTAAAATAATAAAAATATTTAGAATTTTACAGTTACTCATTTACGCCCCCATTAAATATTCTAAACCGAGTGCGCAACTATGACAGAATTTAGAAAACCAATAAAATTGTAAGATACTCTGTTTAATATTGGAAGAGTCTACTCGGATGCTATAAACTAATGGACTCTATTATGTTTCTTTTTGTAATGTTTTTCTAACGGTTAACAAATAAAAGCAAAGCGGAGATACATCAACTGAGCGTTTAGGTTTGGGCAGGCATTCTTTTAAATTAAAGAAAAGAGTTTTGATACTTATTTAAATAGGGTTAATAAAATATTTTAAATTATATATATTATATTTAAAAAATTATAAAACTAAATTACATATGATTTTTAGATGAAACAGTAAAAATAATTGTTTAAAATACGTGCGTGCAAATAATTCCTACCAATACTAAACGTAAAAAAACGCTTACAAACACCAAAAGTATATTTACCGTGAATAAAATTAAGTTCGAAGAAAAATTGGAAGAAATGTTTAAAACTGTTTCAATAATAACATTTATTTTTAATTATTTTTGTTGTAAGTTGGGATGAAAAAAAAGGTCACTGGAATATGAACTCCCGGGGTGAGATGACTATATCTGTCTAAGTGTTGCGCGGCTACCAATTAGCCCATAAACGTATTCTCTATTTAGAATTTGAGATAATTTATGACGCATAAGAAGTGTAATTAAAAATTCAAAACCAAGTTTGGAACAACTGAATTTAAAAAAAATCTAATTAGATGTGTATATGTTATGAACGTTAACTAAGGCGTACTTAAACGGCATCACGTGCTGAATGTTTTAGCATTTTTCAAAGTTCGTAGTCTTTTTTACGTTTTTTCTTTTTAAAATCTTTATAATCGGCATAATATTAAAAGCGTTTAAAGTTTTTTAAAGAACATTATAACGTTATATAATGAAATTTTTTTGTCATATCAAAAAGTAAGTATAGTTTTTTATATGTACATAGTTTTTAAAACGGTTTTAAAAAAATATTGAGGTAAGGAATAAGTATAGAAAAGGTCGGTGTGGAATAGATTTACTAAGACCCTTATTTTACGTCCTGATAGCTATAGAAATGATCAGATAAGTATAAAAATGGTCGGTTCGGTAAAGACCCGTATTTTACGGGTCCGCCCAGCTAGTATAAAGATGATATGTTTCAGTTTTAATACACAGAACACCCAAAAAATACATAAGTATGCAAAACACATTACTTGACACTGATCCTGTGAAAGCAAAAAAAAAAAAAAAAAATTAAAAAAATAAATAAATTTTTTAACTGACATAATAAAACAGAAATGTATTATAATGGCACTTTGCTTAACATTTGATTTTTCTAATGTTTCTAAATAGAATAAAGAAATTTATTAACAATAACATAGAAACTAATTTGCAATGTATAGAAAAACTAAAAAACCTGAAAACTAAAAAGTATTTAATGTTTGTAAACAAACAGCAACAGAATAGAAAAAAAAATTATTCTAACCTTGATTGCGACGTACTAATTTTTTTTTTACACTATTAGGTAATGATCAACATAGTAAAGTTTAAATGACAAAAGTTTACTTTAAGTTAAAACCATATTTTATTGTAGATAAAGTAAATTTATGATTGTTGGTAGAGCACTAAAGTAAAACTAAAGAAAAAAATAAAATTCAACTAAATTAAAATGCAGTTAAACATGAAAAATAACTCTACCATCATGAGAAAAGGTAAAATTATAAAAACAAACAAACAAACAACAACAATAAAAGAATATTTCTTTTTATTAAAAATAAGAACCTCTTATTTAAAAAAATAACAGATAAGGACACATCAATGAACAAATAGACTTATCGATTAAAAACATACAGAGTGAAAAAGCAATTTTGAAGTTCTTTCACAAATTTATTGTAAGTACTTATTAGATACCCCCTAATTCAGTGATTATTGTTGATTATTATAATAATTATTAACTGCAATTTAAAGTATTCACAAAATCTAAACTGAAAATAAAGTATTATTCTGACACGGAGAATCATAAACACGGCCACAGCAGCAAATTATTTTAATATTTTGCATGTTCTGCTGACTAAAATATTGATGGTGTTTAGTGTAGAAACAGGATGTACATCTTTTCAACAACTTTAGATAAGAGTATTCTCTTCCTCTTTAATAAGGGGAAACCTTTTTTTCTTGTTCTGGGCCCACACTCTATGTACACTATAGGATGTGGGCTCTTATCTCAATTGATAAGGGCCCACATCCTTATTCTTATTGAAATTGCTAAACGATATTTTAATTTCATACTTAATTATAAAACCTAATTTTAATCTTGCAGAGATTGTTACAACTTAATTGGCTAAAATAAATATCGAAAAAGTAAATATAATTTAGAGCAATCAAATTATTAGTAAAATATCTCATAAAATAGAATAACACAATCACATTAGCAAAAAATAATGTTTTTCTTAATCAGTTTTAAAGATGAAGAAAAATTAGAAATTAAAACCTACAATATGTTATAACCTGTGGCACTAAAATTAAAATACCAAACAAAATATTGTTATTTAATTTTAATTAACTAACAATATTTTATAACACTTAACACATACACACAATAACACTTTACTAAATACTTAGATTCATATAAAACACAATTGAATATTTTACATAAAATTATTCAAAACCAATAAAAAAAAACAAAAAAAAAACTTACTTATATTTAAAAAATGGTCGTCTTTAGCTTGTATAAAATTATCAGCCTGTCAAAAATCAATGCAACACCTATAAAACAGAATGTTTCATTATGTAAAACATTAGAAATTTAAAGTTCAGTAATTTTAAAAACAGATTAAAAAATACATACTATTTATATAAGTATATTCAATAATTATACTATTTATGACAACAATTTATGACAACAATAACTATATCATTTATGACAATAATAATAGAAGATAATATGTCATTTCAAGAAATACAAAAATCTTGTGTACACATTTTACAATGCCTCGTGCAGTTCAGTTCAGATCAGCTATAAGCGTTCGAGTTGACTCTTCCAATATTATACGGAGTATCATACTATTTTGATGGTTTTCTTAATTCTGTCATTGTTGCGCACTCGGTTATTAATATTTAACTGCAGCGTAGTAAAGTAGCTGTAAAACTCTAAATATTTTTTATTACTTTGATATCAGATAGTTTCAACTTTTTTTTCATTTTAAAAAATAATAAATTTAATAAAATAATTTATTTTAAATCTAAACTTAAATTTTTGAATTATTCTTTTAATAAAAATATACTTTTAAAACCCCCTTACTGTTTTAAAAAAATTTTAGGTCGCCGCGTGGCAAGTTCATCAGCTTGCTTTTTTTTTTTAAATGCATTTTATAGTTTTATAGATTTTATATTCTATATATACATGTTATATACCCATTTTTCTTGCATAATCTCAACTTAGTTGGAGAAAACTTAAAATGTAAAACTAAAATAACATGACAAATAAGCGCAACAAATTTCTCCTGTTTTTTGACGTTTTTAGAACTTTTAAGCTTTCTTTAAAAATTCTCTTCCTTTTGTTTGTTTAAGTGTAAAATACTTTTACATTTGTTAAGTATATAATCTCTATACATCTTCAAAAGTGATTAGTTTTGTATTTTAAAAAAAATCAAAAAAGATTAAAAAAAAAAGTTCCAGGAACGGGAGTTGAACCCTGGCTCCCCTGATTCGTAGCTCAGCAAGCTGACCACGAAGCTACGCCGTCTTACCAATTTGAGACATTTTTAAAAATATATACTTAACGAAAAACTTTATAAAACAGCTATCGGTCAAAATTTAAGGAGATGTTGCCGCAATGCAGTTTTCAAGTGAAAGTAAAACTTAAAAACTTGATACATGTTTTAGTATGTTTTGACATTTCGCATTTTGAAGTTTACGTAAGTTAGTTATTAGCACACACTTTCGTTAATGTTTTCTTATAAAAAGGTGCTGCGACTCTTCCTCGCCAGTACCTCGGTTGCAATGGCTGCGTTGGGTATTATGTCAAACGTGCTCGAAAGGGTACTACTACTATTAAGTTCAGTATTATTATATAAAGATAAGAATGGTGATACAATGGTTACCGTGGTTAAATATATATATATATATATATATATATATATATATATATATATATTTTTTTTTTTTTTTTTTTTTTTTTTTTTCTTTTTTTTTTGATTTTTTAAATTTTATATTTTTTTGTGTTTTTGTATTTTATATATTTTTTTTATTTTTGATTTTATATGATTTTCCACGTTAAAATTTTTAATAAACTTTACATATAAATTGATTACACATTAACGTCAACATTGGTTTACATTTTATATACATTTTTACTTGTGAGTTTATAAAAATTTAAAATTGCTAAAACATGAGCAAGTAAAACTAAAAAACAAGGTAACGCAACTAAGATTATAACACTATGTTTCATTGAAGTACCATATTGAAATCTAAAAAATTATATAGATGCATCTATATAATTTTTTAGATTTCAATATGGTGATTTAAAGCCTACGGAAGTCTATAAAAAAATTTCTCAGAGTTATTACTGCAGTTAAAAATCTAATTAAAGCCCACAATTAACGAAAAATTATCAAAACAATTAATTTATTTAACAATTTTTGTTATGTATACATATAACTATAAAAAATGTCAATATTAAAAAGCTTAAAAAAGACAAAATTGGCATATCAACATTGGCTAATATGAGCATGCCAATACGGCTCCAACATTAGCATTCTAATATTGGACAAACAATATGGAGCAATATTAGCATGTTAATACTTTCCAATATTGGTATACCAATATTGACGCAATACTTTTAACCATTATTGGCGCAATATTGTATATCTTGTCCATTATTGGACAAGATATTCAATATATCTTCTGTTAATACTAATATAAAATAAAAATTGTAACTTGAAGTTCAAGCTACAATTTTCATTTTGTATTAGTATTAGCAGAAATAGAATATACTAACCGTAGAACAATTGGCTTAAGTAGTTTCCGTTTCTCTTGCCAATGCTTGATTTTGATGTTCAGACATATTTTCGGACATGCTGTTTACAACTAAACTTTTAAGTGCACACCAGGTCACAAATCCGCTGTCACAAGAAATATCAAAGGTGTTTTCAAACAAATAGTTGTAGCTTGTCAACTGAACAAGATTCATTTCATTTTCCATTATTTGTATAGGTTGTAATGAAGTTAGAACAGTGCCGGATCAAGCGGAGGGAACTAGGGATGACTATAGCCCCGGGCCCCGCAAATTTAGGGGCCCCCAAAAATTTTCGAGGACCTTTTTTTTTAATTTTTAGTCATTTTTAGGCTCTGGCTCATAAAAAGGCCTCCAAAATCAAAAATAACCCCGGGCCCCAAGTAGTCTTAATTTATATATTGAACATCAACAGTTGAATTAGCTTAACTATCCTCAACTGAGTGTAAATAATTTGATAAATGTTCATCACTAGGGTTAGCCTGAGAATTGAATGGATAAGTTTCACACAATCTGAACCCAGATAAAAATTTTTTTGGACTCAGCGCTTTTCCACAGGCCAGGGCCGACAACACTGAGGGGGCATGTGTCTCCCCACGTTTTTTCTTAACCTTTTTTTTTTTTTGAGAAATTTCTAGTTATAGGGGATTTTTTTTAGAAATAGACGATTATGTCTCTCCACTTCAAAACCCTTGTCGTCGGCCATGAACAGTGAAGCAAATATACCTGCAAAATTTGAACAACAAGTAACAACTCCTGAAAACTGATTTTGTGCTGAAGAGCAATAATAATTTTTCAGTAGGTTAAATAAGATGTGATTACTTGGCTGAAGCTAGTTTAATGTGCGTGAAGGCGTTTCAATTATATGTATTTGGTTCTGGAGAATTTATGTGCCTTTTACTGCAGCCACTTTTTTTAGTTTTGCTTCAAGTTCTAGACCATACTCTAAATAGATTTTGATTTACCATGCAGATCATTTTTCACTACGTTGTCATTCTCTCAGGTTCTCTGCTCTCTCAGGTTGTTGCAGAGTAAATCTATGCCCACGCCTGCGCTTAATCAAAGACCACCAGTTTCCAGGCATAATTTATAAACTGTGACTTTCCAAAAACCACCCTTAACTTTGTCTTGTTGCTAGCATAATTGATAAGTTTTTTTTACCAGAGCTTTTTGTTAGAGTAGGTTTTCTTACGTGATTTGCTCTAATAGCAATTTTATCAATCTGTCTTGAATGCATCAGTTGATAATATATTTATTCTGCGGGCGAGATTGAGTTACATTGGTTAGGTTAGGCAGAAAACAATTTTAAGCTTAATCTACCATTTCAAACATAATAAAATTTATTATACTAACAGAATAAAAAATGGATAAAAAAATTAAATTATAACTTGAAGTGCACAACAACATATTTATTCGGTTGAGTTAGATAAGTTAGGTTGAAATCGGCAAATTAGGTCGTAAAAAACTTTCCAAAAGTTAACAAAATTTTTGTCGACAGATATTTAATTACGATTTCTTTGAGGTCAAGATTGTTTTGATTTTGATTAAGTCTAGTTCGCTGTTCTAAATGAAAATCTTTTTTGTTGATGTAGTGGTGTGTTAACTGACTTATAAGCAATCAAAGATAGAGTGCGAGATTGGTATCAAGTTACCCTAACGACAACCTTTTGTTGTAAAAGAGTACGGTTTATTATTTCTCAGAAATCCGCATTTCAAATTGTGAGTTAGCCATAGTGATAAGAAATATATTTATTCTTAAGACTATGGTTTATCAAACCTAGTGTTTGTTTATTATTATCAAACCTATTGGTTGGTTTAGAAAAAACTAACCGGTAATGTTTTTAACAAAATATTGAAAAGAAAGTCGCTATATATTATTTTATCGCTAAAACAATAACAACGGCAACAAAAACTTTTTGTTAAATATAAAATATTAAACTTTGTTTAATATCTTAATAAACTTTTGTTTAATATATTATATATATATATATATAATAATCTTTATATCAGTATTAAATATATTGTTTTTTTTTCATTATAAATATTGTACTTCATTTGTTTGTCTTTTGACAAATTTGCAAGTGCAAATATTATTTTAACATTTGTAAACATTTTGTTATGTAAGAGTCTTCAAATGATTAGACAATCAAAAGTTGAATCATTAGTCATTAGACTTCACTTATGATTAAAGAACTGATGAGATTATAACTGAATACATCCACCACAATATATTATGAATCATTATGAATCATATGAACAGGAACCGATTACAAAGGTTATTACTGAGAAACCAAGTAATAACGAAGATGAACTAATTTCAAATGGTAATAATAATACTAAAGGAATACGGAAAATAGCATCTGGGTTCGTTTTTATTAGGTTTATTTATTTTAAAGTATAGTTACTTTTAAGGAAAAATAAGCATGGTTTTAAACATTATTTAAGTATGAAGTCGTAAATTAAATAAAAATTTGAATAAATTTTTTTTATAATTAAATATGATGTACAACATGTCTTAAAATCGAAGATATCTAAAAATATTCATACTGAAATTGTGATATCTCTGATATGTTTCCTCCTAAACGACCTCCCTTATTAAAAAAAAATTCAATATGTGCAAATTTAAGTAACTATTAGTATAAGTAATAGTATATGCTGTGACTGACATTGATAACAGTGAGTGTGGTTTTAAAGCACACTATGACAACTGAATCTTGTGATGGTTTGATTCCCATTGATAAGTCTTGCTATAAATGAATTCACTGAATTGGCTTTAACAACATTTTCTGGCAGTGCATTCCAATAATTTGCAGATTGATTTAGTAAAATATTTTCTCTATAATTATGTACAGTAAATTCTTTAGAATACTTTAGGTTATGGTTGCAAGTACAATTTGATTTAAAAGAATTATTTTCTTTAAATTCAACTTTTTTGCAACTTTTGAAAGTTTTATACAGTTAAATTATTTCACTTCATTGTCTTTTTTTAACTAAAGAGGCTATTCTAAGACAAGCTAGTCAATCTTCATAGCATAATTTATTGATTGAAGGTGTTAATTTAGTGACACAACGCTGTACTGCTTCTAAAATAGCAATAATTTGTTTTTGATAAGGAGTCCATAATGGTACAGCAAATTCTAGAAATGGTTGAACAAAAGAAAAATATAGAGATTTTAGCAGTTCTGCATCAAATTGATTTCTTTATTATGCTCAACATGTGGTTTGCTTTGCTTATACTTGATAATACTTTTTTTTTCACTTCAAAAAATCACTCCTTCTTTCTATTTCCTTTTTTTATTTCTGGTTCCTTTCTGAATCTGATATATTGAGTTTACAACCATTTATATAAATTGGATATCTCATATTTTTTTAACTAAAGTGTATAACTAAATATTTGTCAATATTAAAGTAAGCAACCAATCTTGTGTCCAAGCACATGCAGAGTTCAAATGGCATTGTAGTTTATTATGTAACTCATCATTTTATTGCAATTAATTTTTTTTTAAAGTTGTTGCTTATTATTTCAACAAAAATTTTAATTAATGATGAACAGGTAAGTAATGTTTCAGAGATCTCACCAAAAACAACTGCTGATAAATATATTGATGAAAAATAAGCTTCTATTGACAATCATTATAAAAACTACTAACATCTTTATACTAAAAAAATTATAATTAGTGTAAAAATTATTTTAGATTGGTTCATTCAGCATCAATTATTTCATCATGAATTAGTTTATCTTTTTACACACTAAAAAGAAAAAATATCTTCATGCATATATTATTTGGTTACGTACAAAATAAGCTTTTTATATTTATATTTCATTTCATTACTCCATGTAAATTATTATGTATATTATTTAAATCATTATTGTTCATATATATATATATATATATATATATATATATATATATATATATATATATATATATATATATATATATATATATATATATATATATATACATATATATATATATATATATATATATATATATATATATATATATATATATATATATATATATATATATATTAGGGCTGTACCGGATTTCAGCTGCCGGCTCCTGCTCCGGCCGAAATCCGGCTGTTTTTACAAATCCGGCCCAAATCCGGCTCCGGCAAAAATTTAGCAAATCCGGCATAATTTTAGCCGGAGTTTTGAATTTTGTCAAATATTTATTACATACCTAATATTTTATTTATAAAAATCAATTTTTTTTGTAATTATATATTTTATGAACCTCATATTTGTTTTGGTATTTGTATTTATATTTCTTTATAATTTAATAAGCCTAGTCTAATTTCAAACAACAACGCAACAAAAAATTCTGAAGGGAAGACACACGATATTCTACAATGATGCAGGTATAAAGACTATGATGTCAACCCTAATCAAGTGATTGGATGAGTGTTTTAAAAGCATTGAAAAGAGAAACCTCTTTATATACTGACGAGGCTGGTTGACTGACAATTTAAAACTAAATTCTCCTCATTAGAGGCAACACTGAGAGCTGAAAAAACAAGATTGAAGTCAATCTGAGCATGCTGAACAGAAGATTGACAAAAGTGAAGAAAATCCATCAAAATAAGCCGGGCTTAATAATTTTTCTACATCATCATCATCATCATTACTCTGGCAATTTATTGATAAAATTATTCAGTCTACGTCCGCTGGTGGCAGGGCACATAAACAACAATTACTAATAGGCATTGAAACTCAGCTAAGGAAATATTTGAAAAGAACCAGAAATAAATAGACACAATGATCCACTACAGTGGCGGAGTGACAAAATCCCGGAAAAAAAGTTCAATAGAATTACTATAAACTTTTAAAACGTATGGCCTATAGAATTTCTTTAGAATTTCTATTAATTTATATATAGAAATTGCTATAAAACTTTTTAAATAACAAAAATGAAGTTTAACAGAAAAAAGCAGTCACTTGGTATTCTGAATAGTCCACATTGTTGACCATGCTCAACACCAAGTAGGGATGTACAGGATTTTGGCTCCTGTAGTTTTCTTTTGAAATCCAGCTCCGGCTCCGATTCCGGCCGGATCTGTCAGTAGAAATCCGGCAAATCCGGCTCCGGCCGGATTTGAAAAAATTAAATCCGGTACAGCCCTAATATATATATATATATATATATATATATATATATATATATATATATATATATATATATATATATATATATATATATATATATATCGCGACCCAAGTGCTTATTTATTCCATCTCCATTTTAAAATATTGGGAGAAAGTATTAAGTGATGTTATAAAGGTAACAACTATTTATGCAATAAATTTTAAATTTTAATAATAACTATTGAAAATATTATTTGCTATTAAATTTACTAATTATTTATAAGAAAAAAAGTTAATAAAATCAAAAAATCAAAAGTTATATTTTTATTTTTAGATATTAATGCGGAAAAGTTCTTTTAACATTTTAAAAGGGAGTGGAAATAAATAAGCACTCAGGTCACAATATATATATATATATATATATATATATATATATATATATATATATATATATATATATATATATATATATATATATATATATACATGTATTAGGGTGTTCCAAAGAAGTTAAAGTAATATTTTTTTAATGGATACCCTCTTATTTTATTTGAATAGTCTAAAAACATTTAAAAACAAAGTTTTGTGTACTTAGGATCACAACAACCTGTGCCTACTTGCAGAGAGACTTACCTGTGACTGCATAGTACAGCTTATAGGAAATCTTGCATTGCTTGCTTGTTATTATTTTTTTCTATTTTATATTTACTATTGATTTTTATTTTTACTAGTGAGTAGTCAACATATCAGTGGAGTTATGAAGCTCTAAAAAGGAGATATTTATAAACGGTGACAAAGTATTAAACCACTGGTTCGATACTTCCCTCTAATGGACAAGTACAGGGAGTTTTGTTCTATAATATTCATAAAATGAATTTAAGTATCAATAAAAGTGCAAATCTTACTATTTGTGAAAGTGTATTTTACTGGAAAAAGGCTAATTAAATTGTTACCTAACTGTGTTAAGAAGCTAGTCTCATTATACCAAGTTTTGATAGATTTGCAATAAAATAGGGGAAAAAAAAAGAAGCGTTTGAACAACGTTGACTAGAGTTTCTTTCCAACTTAAAACAATTTGTTTGCTCATGCCGATACGCTTTAGCTAATTAAAATAAATGAAGATAGGATCTTCTTGGAGCGTCAAAAAGAACCAGGTCAGCCTGGTCACTTAATTAGAGTGGACAAAAAACTTAAAGAAAAAGAAGAAAAGGCGCGCCTTAGAAACATTGAGGAGAAAAAGCGACGTGCTAAATGTTATGATTCATTAGCTCCATCGATATCATATGAACCACCACAAGAAATCTTATCTTCTGATTTTGATATAATAGATTTTCAAGAAAATAGACCCAGCCTAAGTGGTGATTTCTTTCAGCCCGATAAAAGTTGTATTTGGAAAAGTTTTACAACTCCGAAGTTGGTTGCCGTGTTAGATAAATGTCAGTTAAGTGTGAGAAATTCTGTATTTATAATTGAAGCTAGTATTGACGCACTAGAGCATAATACATATGACTTCTTCAATCAATATAATTAGTACTGAAATGCAAAGAGAGCGGACTGAAGCTTTTAATATTAATTATCAAAACAATATCCTGGATACTGTAACTGTCTACTGGGATGGCAAACTAATGTCGGCTCTAGATTCACATAAATCTAAAAAAGAACACATTCCAATTGTTATATGGAAGCAAACAGGCACTATCTGTTTGGAATGCTATTATCAACTGGAATCTTGGGGACAGAGTGCAGATACTTTGATACAAGATACAAGACGAAAGTTCTTCACTTGAAGTAACTTCAAGTCTAGACATTCTGTTGTTTAAAAAAAGGAAAGCTGTCTTGTTTAAATGTTTCAGAAGTTGATAAACTGCTAAAGTTCTATCAATTTGCTCTGTTGGATGTCTGCCTGTTTAATGTGTCATACTATGTCAAATCCTATTTTACAGAGGTTTTATCAGCATATATGGTATTTGACAGATGAAGTGTCTGTTTTGTCAACTTAGCTAAAGAAAACCCATCAGCTTACAATAAATGTTACATTGCATGTCTTATATGTAAATTATGTTTCTATTTTTTTCTATAATTTATTATACCATTGATAACAGTTCCTTCTGTTTTTAATTTTAGAGAAAAACATCAATGATATTGTCTCTATCAAAAGCAATTTCTTATTTAATCGACTCAAAATTGATGACAGTTTTCTGAAGAAGAGCCCTTTTTTATGGTCAAATAATAATTGTTACAATAAGTTAAAAAGAACCTATTGACACTGAGAGAAGTTAATGATACAACAGAAAGAGCGATTAAATTAATGCCAGCCTTTCATGGTTTAATCACTGAACAGGAGTAAAAGCAATATTTATTACATTGCGTACAAGAACATAGATGTATATGCAGATTGTAAAAAACGACTTTAACAGGGAACATGTATATGCAGATTGTAAAAAACAGACTTTAAAAAGGAAATTTAAACATTATTTTATCTTATACTATAAATACATTATAAATATTATGAATGTGTTTTATTTACTGATTATAAATAATGAACTCTACAATGTCCCAATAAGTCCATACTAACTTTTTAACTTTTTACCCCTTAAACTTTGACATCAAGTCAAAGTTTAAGGGTTATCGTTATCCGATCTTAATAATATTTAATATTTAAGTTTTTGGAGTCATATAAAAAAAAAAAATAGAGAGTATATGGGTTTTGAAATTCGAAAAAAATAATTTCACCCTAATAGCCTGGGACACCCATATATATATATATATATATATATATATATATATATATATATATATATATATATATATATATATATATATATATATATATATATATATATATATATATATATATATATATATATATATATATATATATATATATATATATAATATATATATATATATATATATATATATCAGGACCATTGGGACAGCAACATCAGGACCATTGGACAGCAACAAGACGAAAGTTCTTTGCATTTACACGAACAAATGTCAAACAATGTGTCAAGATCTTTTTCTATTTCATCTTGTTTGACTGTTGCAGACTTTGATGGAATCACTTTCTGAACATCGCCTATGTACTTCTCCAGCTGTAGTTCTATGCCTCGAAGACTTATAGTAGGAACTGATGCTTTAATCCATATCTGAGAAAGTTTCTCTGCTAGTCTCTTACAAACAGACCGTAGTGGTTCAGTTTCATAATTCTTCTCAGATAAGTATGCTTTGCCTACTTACTTGTGGGTTGGTAAGCAAAAATTGGGTAATTCACGACCTTCTCCAAAAAGTATATGACGATTCTTTGAAGCTTTAGATCTTGAAATCATTATTGTTTTACAATTTTATAACATATCAGAATTTTAGTTAATTTCTAAAAATACAAGATGAGATGGATAAATTCTGCAATCAGTTGATAAAAGCAGAAATTAATAAACAATCATATAAAATTTAACCTAATTCACTTCTAAAAAGGTTACAAGCAACCACTGTTAAGTTATGAGTTACTAAAAAACAAAGGACAGGATTAAATAACAAAGGAAACTGAAGACTTAAAAAACTTGTATGAGTAAAGAAAACATAAAGATGGGTGAGAGTTTTGAGGTTTTGTTGATGTGTGAGGAAATAATAAAAAAAATTAATAGCATGGAGAGACAGATATAGTAAAAAGATGCAACTTTGCTGAATGAGTTTTGGTTAATCAAACTAGAGATGATAGCAAGAATGAGTTTTGGTTAATCAAACTAGAGATGATAGCTCATTTGAGCATTGACCATGATAGTATTTGCAGAAAAAAGATTGAAATGCAACCTTACAACAATGGAAGAGTGACTAAAGCTTCGCAGATAAAACAGATAAATATATAATGTGCTTTTAAACTGTCTGAAAGTGATTGTGGATAGGACCGGGTTTGTGACAGGGGCTGCATTAACATTAATACATCCAAAAGTATATTTTTTTGAATTCAAAATTCATGTTATATTATATTTATACATGATAATAATTATGATGATGATGATGATAATGATGATGATGATGATGATGATGATGATGATCATCATCATCATCATCATCATCATCATCATCATCATCATCATCATCATCATCATCATCATCATCATCATTATCATCATCATCATCATCATCATCATCATCATCATCATCATCATCATCATCATCATCATCATCATCATCATCATCATCATTATATTTATCTTAATCATTATATACTCCCCTTTTATTCTGTTTCTTTAATATAAAAATCTCAACCATTTTCATTCCTTTCTACCATTTTCTCCTAAAGATGCTACCTTTCTACATACTGATATCAAAACCACTCTAATCTTCTCAGACAAACATTTTTTCTCTGTCTGAGATCATAGCTCCTTTTCTTGTCTTGTAAGAGTCATACCATACATTCATCTGGTCATCATCTTCTCTTTCGGCAAATACTACACCATATAAATACTAAAGTTTATACAGATTTTAAATTAAAATCTGTATTAACTTTTTTATATGCCTGCTATTTATATTAACTTTAAAAATTTAAGTTAATATAAATAGCAGGCATATAAATAAATAGTAAACATGTATGCTTGTATCCATATTATGCATGCATAAATGTTCCTTTCTAGGTGTAGAAGCTTTTACTATTAGCTTTTTCTCATTCTACTCCATGTTTTTCAACCTTCATGTGCAGTTGCTACATTAAACCATAATCATTTTTAAATATTTTTTACTAGAACATCTCTCTTAAGAGCCAATGTCTTTTTATTATTGCAAGAAGTCAACGTAAAAAGGTCCTGTCTTGTGCTAGGCTCCAATATTCTCAGTTTACTAAATCTTGTATCTTATCTCTGATGTTAGGTTTGGAGTCATAATTAAAGTCAGTCTAACATTCCATCTCTAATTCATGGGTCTGACCTTACTTCTCTCAAGAATAAGTTAATGTTGTTTACATAGAACTTTTTATATAGTTTGACACATAATCTGAGTACTACAAGGTTTAGCTGATCTTTTATCTGACCTCTCTTCTGAAACAGCTTATGCAGTGGCTTGTGGATTTTAACTCCAACAGCTTATGCAGTGGCTTGTGGATTTCAACTCCAACAGGGTATGCAGTGGCTTGTGGATTTCAACTCCAACAGGGTATGCAGTGGCTTGTGGATTTCAACTCCAACAGGGTATGCAGTGGCTTGTGGATTTCAACTCCAACAAAACTCAATTGTTTACTGCAAACAGCTATTGCAATATTGTTGGCATTCCTATATTGATAAATAACAGCTCTCTCACTTTCAGACAGTCCAAAAGCACATTGTAAGTGTAGCTGTATTTGCTTTATCTATCAAGCTTATACCATGCTCCCATTAATGTAAAGTTGCATCTCTTTCTTTTTTTTACAAATGCAATCATGGTTGCTGCTCAAACAAACTATTACCTCAAGTTCAATCAGCTAAAACTCACTCTTGCTCAGCTTGTCATTTATCTAAGTTGCATCCTTTTACTGTATCTGTATCTCAATGCTATAAAATTTTCTTTTAAAGTTTATTTTCTCGCACATTAACAAAATCTCAAAATACTCGCCTATTTTCATGTTTTCCTGACCATTCGACCTACAACTTTTTATGTCTTCAATCAACTATTTATTCACTTTTTAACCCTATCCTTTGCCAGTATTCAATAAATAATAAATGTATGCATAAATTTATAATATATAAAGTATTATAATTAAGCCGGGTTTGTAAAAAGTCTTATTTCTAGCCGGGGTCAAGACTGGTACCCTGGTCACTTACTATTTGCAATAAATTGTGTATTTGGTTTTCATAAAGGCCAGTAGTGAATAATAATCCAAGAAGATGTAGAGTAAATATCAATCAATAATAAGATCAACAGTTTTTTGATAATTGTTAGCAGTAAAAAGTTTGTTTCTGTTAAAACTCACCACCACTGCAAGCCCTAAAGTGTCACAGAAAAGAGACCCATAATGAGTTCAAAGCGATCAAAAAGTGAGGACTTTTTGTTAGGAATATATAGCTGTAATGTCATCAAGCTACTTATGAGGAAAGATTATCTTGAAAATTAATAATACAGATGATAAATAACACAGAGCCAATGATGGAGTGTTACCCAATAAATTACTGGAAATGAAGTATATTTTTCATCAAGGTTAACTTTCACACTGCAATTAGACAGAAGTGATTCAATAGTAAAAAAAACAAGATTAGGGAGAGTCCAGCATGCTTGAGTTTAAAAAAATAAATATCAAGAGCAACAACCCTTGCGTCACTCACTGCTTCTATCTAGTGTTCAATAGAACCTTCTTTTTATAATTGTCAACAAGTCCGCGGTAGAATAAGAGGATCAAATTTTGGAGGCTTCTATAATGGTGGATACAACCCTCTCTCAATTCTAGAACTCCAAAACACAAACCTTGATGAACAAGGCTGCTATACAGAGAAACAAATTGAGGGCGGTACAACCAGGAACGTGGTGGGGATTGAAATCAGAATTTCTTGCTTATGAGGCAAGTGCTCCACTACTACACCACTACAACATGTTAATGTAACTTTTGTTACATGTACCACAGTTAATGTACCACATTTAATGTAGTTAATTTGGTGTATTTAACATGTACTGGAGTTAACATAATTTTTATTTTAGTAAAACATTTATCTAAAATTAAATAAAAACCTTAATTTTATGAGTATTTTCTTTTTTTTTTAATACATATAAAATGTTTTAAGTAATTTAAACAAAGTGCTTTTTAAAAAAGAAAACCAATCAGTTGAAAATTCTGGCAGTTAAAATAAGTTTTAATATTGCTAGGCTATATTTTAATTGTATAAGCTAAAATATGATAAAGAATTTGAAATAAAATATATTTTTTGATTTTAGTTTATATTGTATTTAGGCTATGGAGTTCGTTTTTCCAATCTCATGAAGTGAAATCTATAAAAATTTTTGGCAGTTTTTCAGAAATTTCTGAAATAAAAAACATGCCAAATATGAAAATCAAGCATGTAAAGCGTGATGAAAATGTTTCTGCATACTGTTCTCCTAAGGAGCTTTTCACACAATTTAAATCTTCAGAATCATTAAGTACAAATAGTTGTCCAGGTAATGCTTTATTATGTTCAAGTTTGCTTATGTAACAACCAAACTGTGCTCAATGCTCTTAAAATAACAAAGCAATAATAAATTAGTAGAAAATCACTTATCAAATTTTTTTTTATTTTACACTGTGTTTTATCTATAAAGACTCGTCAGAAAGCATTTCTGATGAGTCTTTATAGATAAAACACAGTGCAAAATATATTTCTTTATAGATGAAGCACAGTGTAATATCTTACACCAATGATAACTTATTAAATGAGAGGAATGAGTTGATATCTAGATTAAAATGCAAATTTCCTCTTTCAAAATTTGCTTTTTATTAAATATCTGATGTTTGCTCTGATGAAACTATATCATAAAAAGTTGTATTTTCTTTGTTTATAAATTTATATATAATATATATATATATATATATATATATATATATATATATATATATATATATATATATATATATATATATATATATATATATATATAAATATATATATATATATTTATATTTATATTTATATATATATATATATATATATATATATATATATATATACATATATATATATATATATACATATATATATATACATATATATATATATATGTATATATATATATATACATATATATATATATATATATATATATATACATACATATATATATATATATATATATATATATATACATATATATATATGTATATATATATATATATATATATATATATATATATATATATATATATATATATATATATATATATATATATATATATATATATATATATATATATATATATATATATATATATATAAAGAAAAATGTTTGAGTTTGATAGTCTTTCTTTTAATAAATAAAACTACAAAAACAAGTTATACATTTACTATTTATAAAAGAAATAAATTACAAGTTTAAGACGCTTTTTGTGTATAAATGGTGTATCAAAGTTTTTTAAAAAATGAAAAAAGACTCTGTTACTAAATTGGTGGATGTTGCATTTCTTTTCGCCTTTTCCTCTATCACGAGCATTACTGAACCACGACTTTAACTCATTCTCAAGTTAAAGTCGTTTCTCTTGTGAGCAAACTTTGGTTACAAAGTTTTGCTTTGCAGTGACTAAAAATATGATAACAATTATTTCAAATAATAAACATATTTATCAATCAATCAAATAATAAACATATATATATATATATATATATATACATATATATATATATATATATATATATATATATATATATATATATATATATATATATATATATATATATATATATATATATATATATATATGTATATATACACAACTGCTAGTAGTTAATAGACCACCAAAAAAAAAATGTTACTTACCAAAAAGTAACTGAAACATTATCAACTTGTTAAACCCAAGTTTGCCTTGACGCGATACACCTGTTAAATTGTATTGCTTTGCCAAAGTTGAGTCAAACAGCAACTTCATATTTCGTTTAACAAAATTATCTGTATCAATCTAGTCATAATAATAATAGAGCTTTCAGTAATATTTAAATAGTTAGTCCAACTTTCTTGGCAGAAAGTCTCTGAAGCACTAAAAAATGGAGGTATGCCCTCATGCTTCTTGCTTACAAAATCTAAAAACAGTACATAAATCTAAAAATGAAACATATAATAAAAAAAGAACCAAAATTTTTTGAACTGATTCGTCTTTCAGCAATACTTCAGCATTATCAACATCAGCAAATAACTTGAATGGTAAAGTAAGACTGGCAGGTAGTTGTTGTATAGTAATTCCGGAATCTACACTCTGCTGTTTTTGCAGAGAAGTTATCATTGCAGAATGTAATTTTTAAGTTTGCTTAACCTCTTCCAATGATGCATGAATTTTACTTAAAAGTTTCATAACAACATTATTTGAGGGGGTCTGACCTAAAATAATAAAAAAATGTTGTATTGTTAACTATATATTTTCCTTATAACTGTTATTTCAAAATAAAAACAGGGTGAATGCATCATTAATAATTCGAAATCTATGAACTATACATATAAGGTGTCTTCCAGGATATTAATGCAGATATCAATGACTTTTTCCTGATTCTTAACCTGTTTTCCTTGATTTGGATTTCAGTTATATGTTCAGTTTATTATTCTGTTATATCCAGCAGAGACCCTTTTTCCAATTTATATTGGCTATACGTGTGTAAAAGTTATAATAATAATAACAATAATAGTAATAGAAAACCATAAAAACCTGAAAAGCTTGTTGTCATTGTCAAGTTACCCACATCTTCTGGTAACAAAATGTTTTCTAACCTAGAACTACAAGGTTCTTCTTGATCTAAAAATATAACAAAATACAATTGTTAAATATAATAGTGAATATATGTTATAAAATTTGTTGCAGATGTTGCTTCACTTGTTATAAATAAAATTTGTCAAATTTTTGACCTGCTCTGACCCCAAATTAGTACTTAAAATTTTTTGCAAAAATTTTTTTGATTATTAGAAAGGTCCCCACAGAGGGCAAAAGGGTCTATTTTTGCCCCTTTTTTAGGAAACCTTTGCCCTACTTGTGGGACCCTTAAATCTCAATCAATGCAAAAATTAAACTATCTAATAACATGGTAATGATTTCTTCTACTTAAGTTTTAGGGGCTTTCATAATTATTTATTTAGGTAACTATAAGAGCGATAAAAAAACATTGAAAATCACCAAAATAATACAATATTTGTTTAAAAACAATAAACGCTATGTTTTTTTTTATTAACAATAAAAAATAATAGTACCAGTTCAAAATAAAAATAAAAAATTTACAATTGTTTCAAAACAAATTGAATCAAAAAGTTGATATTAAATAATTCTATTTAGTGCAGCCTAGGCATAATCCAACTTTTTTCTTCCATTTCGATTTCTCTTGTATACATGAGTAAAAAGAAATGTATCTTGTCTTTCCTCTTTGGAATGCACTTTTTAACAAGTTGTTGAACTAACTTGACTGTTCTCTCTGAAAAATCATTCACAACATCAAGGTTCATAATGGCTGTTTCAAAATCTTGATAAAAATCATTTAAAACCCAATACTCTGGAGGAAGCTTCATCCATTGAATCTCAGCTTTTCCATGACCAAGCATGTCATAACACAAGCCATGACTTCTCTGTTATTAGTTGAACTAAACTGGGAGGCTCATCCTGTGAAAAGTTTAGACTCAGTGTGTCTTTATCCAACACCTGTCTTTCTAAGGAATATTCTTCTATGGGACCTCGTTTCAGACTAATAAGTCTCTTAGCCATGTTGCCACGTTCTTAACGTTGCTTATCTGCAATTGCTAAAATGACAAAATATGGATTAAGGTACCAAGTATGTTGTTGTATGGATTTAGAAACAGCATGAGTGCCAGCTTTATTCCATTCCTCAAATCTTTTCATCTGTCATAATGCTTTGATGTTCTAATAGTTAAAGCTTAGATTTATCAATGTTTAACTTATAAAAATAATATACCTATTTTATGCATTTATTTAAAATTATATATTTATTTTCAAACCACTATTTATATTGTGTACCTGTGTCGGAGCAGCTGAACTTAACTCGGCTCTGAGAAACCACAGTGTAAAGAAACTTTGTCATTTCTGTGATTTCATCCCTGCTCTCTTCATTAATTTCAGGAATTCTTTTTATGAGTAGAAATAGTTTTAAGTAAAATAAACTTTTACCCATAAATCTGGCATGATGAACAGCTCCAGGATTGTGAAGTTTGAAACTGTCGGTGGATGTACAAAGTAAGTTCAGCCAATTCTTGATAGTCTCTACAATACCTTCTATTCTAAACAATATTTATAACCCTCTCTCAACTCTATAACTCCGAAACACGAACCTTGATGAACAAGGCCGCTGCGCGGAGAAACGAGTTGAGTGTGGTACTACCAGGGACGTGGTGGGGATCGAACTCGGAACCACTTGTTTATGAAGCGAGCGCTCTACCACTACACCACTACCGCCAAATTGAATTGCATTCACTATCATTCACTACGCACTATCTGCAAAATTGAATTGCATTCAGCTTTTGTTCATTAATTCAGGAACCAATCGGAGTTGATAATCTTTTTAAATCTTGCTTTTCAGTATCTAGATCATTCCAACGGTTTTTAAAAAATTTGAATAATTTATTTTCTGGCCCTGAAGTATTACTGCTTGGATAAAGCTCCCAAAAATGGGTAACATGACGCTCACAAATATGTGTTGACATGCAGTTAACAACATAGGGCGCTGTAGGCGCATAATTATTCTGCTACAAGCTCCTTTTATTTTACTTGTGTTAGCGCTAGTGGTATCAAAGCAAAGACACTGAACTTTATCATCTAATACAAAGTTAAAAAAGATTTCTTCTTTAGCTTCTTTTTGGTGTTCTCCAGAACCTGAGTCAATAGCTGGAACTCCAAGTAACTCCAAGAACAGCTAACCTATCTTTTGAAAGCTGTTTTTTTTCAGTAAGTTCTTTGGCAATTTTTTCATCAAAATGAATTGTTATTAGAGAATTTGAAGATTTAGAAATTCTTTTTATATGGTCTCTGATTTCATTTGCACCCATAAACACAGTGTTCTCTACTGCTCTGTATGAAGATGAGTTTGAGCATACAAAATCTGATGTGCATCCTTCAAAATTGACTATAATACTGCTAAGAATCGCTGTGTGTTGATGTGTAGTTAAACCCTCTCCACTGCTGTGTGAGCAGTACGATGCAAGATATCCTTGGTTAGGGTGATTGAACTAGGATCAATAAGTGTCTCAATTTCAAAATCACTATCAGTTGAAATACTTTTATTGGTATTAAGAGAACTTGATGAAGTTTCAGAATCTGCATCAGATACATTTTTTAACTTACTAAAATTACATTTAGATTTATGCTTTCTTTTTATTGAGTACTGAAATCTTTTATCCAAACCCCCTAACCTTTCCTTAAACTGGTCTTTAGGGAAAGCCATGTCTTCCTCTCTGTCATTTTGGTTTCTCAATCTATCTTTCCT